TTGGAGCCAAAGTGTCATCTTTAAGGCAATTTCAGATTTAAAATGAGCTCCTAGTTTCTCTGCATTGAGAAGTGCTCTGAATTGAGGGTTGTACCTGGTGAGCTCCAAAGGTCTCTTCCAACCTCAACCAGTCTGTGAATTTGGGGTACCTCTGCATCACTGAAGACAAACAAATGCCAGTTCTGGAAAAGCAGGTCCCACTCAAACAACTTGAGATTGCACAGGCACTCAGGCCCCAAAAAACTCAGACTGCTGACTACTTTGGAAAACCTGTAGCCAAGCTGCTGTCTGTTTTCTGGCTGTAATCACACATCACGTAAGTCTGGATCACAAAATGATATTCTTACCACAAAGGAAGGGGTCAGTCTGAACTGACTCCAAGGGCTACATTTAGGTATTTGTTTTCATTTAAATCATGTGCAACACCATTTCAGACTGCTATCAGTAAAGGCAACTGGTAGCATGCAGTAATAGATACACAGGAGGAACATCAATTGTTTTTCTTTCTTAGGTAGAAGTGCTTATGTATTTAAAAATAGATAAAACAATTAAATTGCTATAAGGAGTTTTTAGAGGCCATGTACAAGTCATTCTCACTGTATCAATACTCCTTCACTATATTTCACTGATTGGATTCTGCTCTACAAGTAACAGTGCCAGGTGTGTGGTAGTGTATTACTGGATGGGCAAAAGTGAGAAGTCCCAGTGTGGTTTTAGGGGGCTCACAGTTTTGCTTCTAGGGGACTGATTTTCAATTTGAAACATCAACAAACTTTTTACAATGTGATCAAAAGAAGACACTCCATTAAAAAAAATAACTATATATCTAAAAATCTTTCTTTGTTGATTAAATTCATGCAGTTACAGTCTACTCAGTAGACTCCTTTAAGTGACTTTCTACAGAACCACGAGGTCCTATATATATATACGCCTAATATATACTTAAATTATATATAATTAAGTAAATATAACAGTAGAATAAGTAGTATCTTACAGGCCAAGATGACCACATCACCACAAAATCAATGGCAACAGGGATGACTATTTCATAGCGGTCTCGGCAATCCAACAGTGCCATTCACTCACTTTAATATAACTTCACTAAACTGAACATTGAGGTTTCCAACTTAATTTACCTACTCTCTTTATGTGAAAATACTGGTATACCATATCTTTAAAATGGCAGTAAAGATATGACTTCACCTTTTTATTAAGACAGTTTTATTAAGACAGTTACAGCCAGGTTGTTTTCAAAACTCACGCTCCTGACACCCACCTTACAGAGCATGGAGGAACGCGCAGAGTAGTGCATGACACTGCCTTTATTCCTACCAACAGCCTGAAGAGATGGCACAAATTCCCTATGGATTTCCATGGAAAACCCTGCCAAGAGCTCCCTGTCAGCATCCGTGGGGCTGGAAAGCCACGCTGCTGTTCTGATTCCCAGCTAGGACAGAAGAGCTGGAGACAGAATTCACAGTGCCACATTCAGCATTGAGAGACAAATCAGTACTCAGCCAGCTGTGAAATGTAAATAATTTTTGCCTTTCAGAATATCCTCTCTGATTCTGTCAAAATCCATCACACACAACTGCTTGTTCAAGCAAAAAGTAAAACAAAGTAATACTAAAAATCCCCAAATTTACAGCCTACCAGTGAATAGCTGCATTTCAGTCAGTCATTCTCCACATGACATCTTTATAAAAAATACTGCTTTACCAATATCAAACTGACTTGTGCACTGCAATAGTGCATGAGCTACAATTCAAATGACTTAATGTTTACAAAATGAGAGATTCAGCTTTTGATCTCTTTTACAAACTGTGAGCTGGGAGCAGCTCCAGCAGCCTCAAGAAGTAACCTAGTTCTTTACTGCCACCGATTAATCTGCTTTACAGGAGACTCCTACAGGTGACTGAGAGTCTCTCCCTGATTTGCAGAGGTGGAGAGAGAAAAGCAGCAGCAACAGGACAGCATCAAGTTCCTCCCGCCATCTGCCCTGCAAAGAGCTCATCTCACTGCCACCAAAACAGAAGAAACTTCCATGTAATTTTTATTGTCATCCCCAGACAGATCAAACAGAAGGGGATCATTGCTTTATGTGTGCCTGAGCAAGCATGCTTCAAGAACTGCCTTTCTCTGAGTCTTCCTTCCCTGTTTCCCACTTTGGATTCCCAGGCTGGTTTCTGAGGAAGATTTATTTGATCGTATTACAAAGATGCAGGGTGCATAATGTGCACCATTGGATGCTTTCAAAAGTCCAGTCCAATGGAAGCTAGGAAGCCAAAACCTAGAGAAATACTTTGATCTCCTAAACTGGACACAAGTCCAGAAGTATGTGCACAGAATAATAAATATTTTTTCCTATCACTAACAAGATAATACATAGCAAAGAATGTGAGCATGAGGTGTTCAGAATCATTGTGGATGAAAACTGTTTCACAGAATATTTATTTTAAACTCTCCAGTTTCATACAAAAAGTAGTTTCCACTAAAACAAATTTGAATTTATTAAAGAAGAAAATAGTGGTACGTAAAAGGCAGAAAGGCTGTACAATACTGTCAAATTTGAATACTGGCGTTTTTAGTAAAAGAAACAGTGCGAGTAGCTTAATCTGTTTAATATTTCACTGGAAAGATAGAAGACAACTTAATCTGAATATCAGTCCAGATATTAAAGTCAGTAACAATTCCTGCTTTAACAGACAGATAAATCATGTTGAAGCATCACTGCAATTACTGCGCATAGAGCCAGTTTCCTAGACTTTAGAACTGAGCCTACTTGTAGCCTTTGTTTTCCATCTTTGTCCTATTAGTGCCCCAAAGTATCTTTCCCTGTCACTGACAGGGAGGGCATCCTTACAGGAGATGTCAAACTTAATGTTTTGATCAGTGATAGTGCACGCTTGCTTTAATCTTATGCCATCGGAAAGGAAGCAATAACCGTGTCCCATGGTAGCAGCAAAGCTGCAGCTGTACGTGTTAAGTGTGACTGCTGCCATCAAATTTCAGAAAACCACTTCTATCATGGTTATTTTTGTATCATTTTCCTTGATGTGCACAATATATTCGTGTGACTCACCAAAGAATTCTGACTGGCATTTTTAATTAAGAATATTGTTGTACTGATGACCATCAGAAGTATGGCTATTTTTTAAACAGAGGCAAAGAACAGAGAAATATATGAAGAAATATATTTTAAAGCATATTTTGTTTTATGCACAAATTAATTATTTTTAATTCATTTAAGAGACAAATTGTTCTTCCCTACCCCTTGTGTCTCCAGGCACAAAAGGTAAATCAGACTTACAAATCAACTCCTCTTGCCTGCTCACTCACTCACTTTAGCATTTCTGCCTCCCATAGCCACTGTCTAGGTCTTCCTAGCTGCAGTCTGTCCCAGCACTGTGCAACTGGTTAACTCAGAAATTAATACAATTATTCACAAAGTTTTCTAACACCTTCCTAATTGCATATGGATACGATTGTGCTTAACCAACAAAATAGGTTTCTCTGTGTCTCCTTTGTGAATTAAAGTACTTTTCGGTTTTATCCTTGTTCTGTGTTTGTTTTTTTTTTTTTTAATTATTTTTTATTATTATTTTTTTTTTAATAATTTTTTTAAGGCTACACATTACAATTACATTTTAGCAAGAGCTCATAGGTTGCAAACCAACATTTTGGTCACTAAAGTAATTAAAAGCTCAAGAGATGTTGGAGTTTGGTGCAGACTTTGTTACTGACCATCTTTTGCTGCACAAAATCAAAGCAATTCAACACAGCTGACTAACTTCTAAAAAAATGGTCCACCTGCAGCTGCACTGAGTTTGCCAGTGTTGCCACAGATAGTTGTTATTGGCTGATGGGAAGGGCAAACATCATGCAACTAAATTGTGCAAGTTTCTCCCCTCAGGTGATTAGAAAACCAGATTATTTAAAAAAAAAATCCGTTTGGATGATCCTTTTCAGCTGCTATTAGAGCAAGCAGATTATCAAATTACTCTTGCTACTAGATCCGCCAATGCAAATCTATTTAGCCATGGATGAGATAGTGGTGGGCTGGTAGCTGGAGCCACAAATTTAAACTTTAATGAAACCAGAATGTAAGTAATCATTTTATTATTTATGGGCAACTTGAACATTGAAAATTAGTGTTTATTATGTTTTTTATTGCTGTTGTTGTTTTGTTTTTAATAATAAAGCAGCTATGTTTGTATCAATGCAGTAGTTAAGAGATTCAGTGAGATTGTGGGAGATCAGTTTAGACAGCAGCTGTATGGTGATTGATCACAGGCACTTCTTGAAATCTCTTCTTGTTTCCCTTTACTTTTTTGCAGCACCTTAAAGGGTATTTGGGTCCTGGCAGGTTCAGTGTTCTGCTGTGGACCTCAGCTCCCTCCTCTCTAGCTGAGGTCAGGAGCTCAGAAAGAAGTCGTCACTATAGGTTGAGACACAAATTTCCAATGCTGATGGTATGTATGTTTGCTCCTTAAGGTAGCAGATGAGAGCAGAAAGTAAGAGGAAGAGAAAGAAATGCTTCTCTTGCACAAGGCTACTTTTCTCTAGCAAAACTGGTGCAAACCACGCTTCATCCATATTTCTTCTGCTAACCATGGGGGGAGGGGGAAGGGAAAAGCAAACTCCTGAATTGTTTGAATACTGCAGGTTACATCTGGGTTCTGACTACAGACATCAGAGGGCAATGCCAGTGCCCAGTTCTGGTTGTCACTGGGGCCTGCCAGTAGTGCTGCTTTTCTCCCTGTAGAATCCCAGAATGGCTTGGGCAGGGATGCCCTAGCAGACCAGGCTGCCCAGGGCTCCATCTGGCCTGGCCTGTGAATGCCTACAGGGATGGGGTGGTTGCAGCTTCCCTGGGCAGCCTGTGGCAGAGCCTCTCTCTCTCACAGCTTAGCATCAGCTTGCTGATATTTGCACCGTGCTATCTCTCCTTCAGTTGTGTAATTAAGTGTTTGTGGTGATCGAGCGGTTGTTGCTCCCAGGTACTGCAGCATCCAAAGCACCGATGGGTTCTTGCTGTTTGTGTTGCAGCTGCCCTGCAGTAATGACCTATGATGTGTGCCCCACAGAGCAACAGAAGGTAGGAGGTGCTTACCCAGCACAATTTGCGTCTTAAATTTAATTATAACATAATTTAAACTTTAATTACAATTATTTTCTCCTTATTCTAAATATGTAATGGTAATCAGAAATCAACTACCTTTAAAGTATGGCTGCTATGTAGTTTGCAGTGCAGAGGCCATCCACTCGTGCATCCACATCAGATCAGAGAGCTTCAAACACATCATAACAGTACTCAGCATTTTCTGTTATTTTATTTTTTTCTCAATTGTTGTGCAACCACTCACTAATTAATCCTCGCAACAACGAGAAACAGAAACGTTAGATTTATTTGGCATTGTACAAGGAATAAGATGGCAAGCTGGGATAGGATTTCTGGGGAAGTGGCTCTCAGTCTTCTGCTCAATTAATCTTCTTTTAATTTTGCTCATATAATTCAGTTGCTAATTTTGCTCCTAATTCTTTTCTTTTCTTTTTTCCTTTCCCACTCCCCCTCCAGTAATTACTATCAGCTGGTTTGGTGCCTGCAGTGTTGTTGACACGTTCCAGACATACAAGCATGACAATTTTTACAAGGCTGCTTATGAAAAATATATTGCATATCTGAGATCACTTTGATTTAGTGAGGCTGGGAGATTTTAAACACTGGTATGCACTGTGTATTCAGTGTAACTGTGTAGATTAGTAATAACAAAGTTCATTTTTTTGACTCATGCTTGATCTGACCAAAACTTGCTTCATCCTGTTTCTCAGTACAGGACATCCAAAGTATGTAAAATGGGGGTATCCCTGGTCATGGAAGCCCTTCAGATTGTATGGTTTTCCCCATTTCAGAGTTTGATTCTTGTCTCACTCAAGACAAGACTTTTACCTGTACAATAGGAAAGACTGAAGAAAGCACTGTCAGCTTATTTTAATGAGAGGGAAATATGGCTCAAGTCTTTTTATGTCTCTGTTATTCTCAGATCCTTACTAAAGCCAGTCCAAAATTAAAACCAAACTAATTTTCCTCATACTTTCCAGAAATACATATTTACAAATGCTCACTGTAAATATGTATTCACTGCGTACATGTATTCTATCTTCTATATATTTATATTTAAATAATTCCAGATGTGTATGTTTGTGAATAGATAAGTATAGAAAATCCCTTACGAAAATATCAGTATTCGCTGCTTCTCTTAAATCAGGCCGCCGTCTGGCTGTCTGCAGCTGTCTGTTCTCTTCTGCCCTCGTGTGGTTATTATCAAAGTGCATTTATACAGCACACTAAGAAATGGTACACGCACCTCCGGGGTCCCATGGGCAGATACCTTTTCAGTTCAGAACTCTCTGCAAGATGTATGAAACATAATGCTTCTCCACCAAGCTGCAGTCTGCATATTCCCAGGGGCCATTCCTGCTTCCAGAGCTGCTGCTTTTCCACTGATGACTGTGGGGATGCTATACAAATGTGTTCTGTTCAGCTCTGCGTATTTAGTCCTATATCCCTGTGGTTATGCTGCTGCAAAAATACATCAAGTATCAGATGTATACAGTACAGACCCATCAAACACAGGATCTTTTGTCTTCAGAAATCATAACTCAAAGAAGTCCCGCAAGTTCATCGTCCTGTAGCAGAGGCATGAAAAGGATAATAACATTTTATTACAATGTTGTACATTAAAAAGTTATTTTAAACTCTCCATCTCCAGAATTCCTATACAATGGCATCCAATTTGCTATAGTTTTCCCCATAACTAGTAGGATGAAAAGCTGATCCATTCTGTGGATAGTGCTGAAGGAGTGTTACATGACATTAGTGCATGGGCCTTTTAAATCCTGTGTTTGAGGAGTCAGTGTGTGGAGGTTTCGCCCTCACATAAATGTTAGTACTTTGGGCAAGTGCGTATTTTGTCTTTCTATTGAAAATAACACAAGAGGAAAAGGTAAACTTATGTCCTTTCATTAAACAAAGGATAAAATAATGCCTTAGAAACAGGCTACAGAAGTTTTGTGGGTTTTTTTTTTCCACCCTGAATATGTCCTAAGTTTGTAAATAGTTAATATTTTCTTTAACACCAGTTAATCTATAAATACTTTTTTACATCTGGATAACAGCAGGCTTAATACATCAGAGTGTCAAACAGTGCGAGTTTCGCTTTGATTCTCTCACTTTAAGATAAGCCACCATGTGTGCCAGACAGCTGTTTTTTCTCATAGCTTCCCACATAACTAAATCTTCTGCATAGTTACAAAGCAAAAAATGACACCAGAATCACAGATATATGTGCATTACTCAGAACAAAATGGCTTCTGCTTACTTGCTTCAGCCAAGTATAAACCATGAAAAAGTACACTGACCTCACTTCTACAAGCAAATTTCTTGTTGGAGTGTTTTGTTCTAGTAGTAAACACTCCATGCCCGGATTTGTCCAGCTTTGCTGCATGTCTGAAGTAAATAGCAGAAATTATGCAACTTTTATACAAGGTGGTAAATACAATTGGCATTCATAGCTCCCTCCCTTTTAGAGACTGCTTTCCACAGCCTGAATTGTTCAATATAATTAATACACATTTTAATGCTAACTAATTGGTCACGAAATTCTCATAGTAAGTAGCAGAGTATCTGTTCTTACATATCTGCAAATGTTTATGCATTAACGTTATGAAGGTTAACTTTCTAACATCCCTTAGAATTACACAGGTAAATTATTACTAGCTTACAAATATTAAGGATGAGGAGATTCTGAAGCTTGCGTGCTTCCCATTTAGGCCTTGCAGAGTCCAGAAATTATGTGGCTGATGTCAGAAGATGATTTGAGAGAGCCAGAGGCTTCTCTGCACAGTCAGTGGGAAGAGCCAAGCCCTTCTAAAGGCCAATGTTCAGTGACTGAGGAGAATAAGGGCCCTCAAAGGGTGTTCCACAAATGTGGCTTGGAAGTAGATGCTTGAAAGAAATCAGGAGGAAAGAGGTATAGAGAGTGCAAAGACTGTTTTGGCTGGGAAAGGGTAACTGGGAAGAGATTTGGCTTCTGGGAGGCCTAGGAGTGTAGAATAAATAAGAATTGATTTTGACAATGCAAAAATAAGTTTATTATTATAAGTCTTGTCTTGTAACTTAATTTGGATGACCAGAAACTTGGGAAGACTTTTATAGGAGCACACGATTTTGAAAAAATGCCATCAAAAGTCTAAAGGCTTTGTAAATTCATCAAGACCTACATGATGTTAGAAATCCAGTAAAAAGGAAAGGAAAAGCAAAACTGTGTACCTCATAATATATACAAATACATACAAGATGTACTATTATATATATTTTTAAGAACTTTTAGCAAACTGGTAAGTTTTACATCTGTTCATCCTCTTGTTCTGCCAAATAAGTGGAATGTTTAAGAGGGATGGTAACTTCTGCCAAGGTTTGCTTAGCAAAAATGCTTTGCCTGTTTTAGAAATAAACGATGCTCAGTCTACTGCATGTTTTCTAAGTAAGGTTGTAACTTCATCTCAGTCTGATGAGACAAACAAAGAAATATTAAAGTGTTAATTAATCCTTCTCAGTAGAATGTAAAGCTCAAGAGAAAGCCAGGGACAACCTAGTCTGAGAGAGAACACTTGGCTCTACTCACTGCCAGCATCATAGCTCATGCATTTTACATGCAATCAATATTAATTTTAACTATATATATATGATGTCTAAGAAACACAGGAATAACTATTGCAAAAGAAACCATAATGCCAAGCGTTCCCTGCATTTCTTGTGTTTGAGATTACACACAGCTCACTTTTAAGGGGAAAGCTGTGTTGTGAAGCCTCCCCCAAAAGGTGGTCATTTGGGTAGGCTCCCACGCTGTATGCAGGAAGGCTGTATGGAGGAAGGCTCATCTTTCTCCTTGGTTTGTGGAATCAAAAGGTTATTATGAATCACAGCAAGGAGCAAGGCATGTTTTTACCCAGGGGACTATATTTGCAATTACTGAAATGCCTGACTTTAGCATCCAGGATACCTGAGGATCTCTGAAGACTCAGTTACTGAAGCCTTTTGTGGATTTTGGACAAGAACAACGACTGTGAGCAGCCTTCTGTACCCACACTGAGTGATTTGTCCTTGTCTGTAGGAGTTAATCTTGAGTTTGGTCAGCTTGTGAATTTCGTTATCTTCCTTTGCCTATTAGGTTTGATACCCACTTCATTACTCTTACTCAAGTTTTGTTTTCCATGATGTCAATAGATTGTAGGGAAGCTGCTCTGCAGACCTCCTCCTTCCAGGGCTGAATGAATAAGTGAAACCTGCTAGTGCTCCATTATTATTATTATTTCTCCAGTTCCCAGATCTATGGGAACTTCTGACAGCTCATGCAGAGTGAAAGACAGTTAGTAGTTATCTTTCAGTATAGTACACTAATGAGAAAATTTCTCATCGATCTCAACAAGCCTGTTTTGTTCCTCATAATATAATGTTGACATATCTGTGGGCTCTTATTCTGGGCCTGGATGTCAACTCATATTAGGCTTGTGCATTGTATTCACAAATTTGGTTGGTAAAAATAAATTAACACATGCTCTCCGTAATTCCAATTGTTGCTTTAGTATTTTCAGTTCCATTGGTAATACATTTACAATCAAAAATCTTGGAAACATACTGGCATAGGTCATTTCCATTATCTGAAAATCACCAGGTATCTCAAAATCCAATGAAAGTTCAGAGGTATATTTGAAGACAACCAAGTTCATTAAATGGAAGAACAACGACCTGAGCCATCTCGCTAACCATACAGAATTAAAATTTATTCCATCTGACTCTAGACTGTCAACTATGAATGTTTCTGCCCTCAGTCATAAATTTCATGTCAGAGTTTTCATGTCTTTCACCCAAGGTAGTAACCCTTGTAGTACTGTGAGCACAAAGTCCTTACCTGCAGTGTATTTATCAAATACATGCAAGTCTTCTCAAATGCAGAGGATATAACTTGTTGTCAGCTGTGTATGTGGTAACTAAAACCAGGATCTACTCTGACAGTAATGAATTCTGACTGTGAAGCAGTAGTTATTTCTGTCCTAAATGACAAACTGCCATGTCCTATTATCTAGAAGCTTCAAGGCCTGACACACTCTATTTCATCTAATAAAAACAGCTTAAAACAAGAAGACAAGTTAGCATATGTCACTAGGAATGGATATAGAACTGTATTATCCCAAGTAGCCAAGAACTAAATACCACTGATTTTTTTCTAACCATGGCTGTTCTTTTTATTTCAAGGTGTTCTTAAATTTCAAGCAACTACCTGACTTAGCATCCCAGCATTACCTCACCTTTCCCAAAAGTTAGAAGGCTGTAATTGTCACAAGGAATTACCCCTAGCTGAGGAAACATTCTGCCAGAAGCGTGGCAACCACAATTTATTTTCAAAAAGAAAAAGTGAAAGCTAACACCTTCATGCTGCTGTGTTAGGAAAAGTAGTTGCAAAGTAGTTCAAACCACAACATCCCTGTTGTTAAATCTCACGAGAAGACAGTTGCCCTTTCCAAAGGGTAAGTTCATTTAGTAGCTAGTCCTGAATCAGCCTTTTTCCCTGTTCTGTATTTTGCATTTTCAGTGCTGTAAGGGAAAACCAGTAATTCATTCATTTGTACTTAAAATGAATAATAAATATTGTAGTACCTGTAGCTGGCAAAAAGAAAAAAAAAAGACTATTTTCAGCATTCTGGAAAAGCTAGGGAAATACAGGATGTATTCTTAAAAGGCAGCTGAGACTCTGCTTACCAATGGTGTGGACATTCTTTTAAACCACAATAGCAGGGACCAAGGACCCAAAAGTGTATTTTAAAGATGCTTTTCTGGAACAAGGCTTTGCTAAGCTGCACATTTTCCTTTTCAAAATTGCCTATATATTCCTTTGGACAAGAGAAAATTATGACATAAAAAAACTGTCTGCAGAAGCAGAGAAACAAGCAGTCATACACTATAGCGAAAGATTAACAACACTGGGTACCCAACTTAATAATGATCAACTGATTTCATCAGAACTCTTTGTAGTGTGAATGTAACTCACCTGAGAGCCCAAGACCAGCATATTAAATCACCAAAAATGCAGTAACTACCTTCAGTTATAGGAAGAGAAATCTGTAGACCTTACCCTCTGTGTCTATCTGAAAGAACACATCAGAGTCCACAAAAGTGTAGGTTCTGCAAATGGGATGAACCAGATAGGCTAAGACTATTGGATAGCCAGAATACAAACCTTTGTGTCAGGACACAAATCTTCAAACTGATGGATTTTTTTTTTTCTTTATCTATCATGGAAGGGATAAATTCTGACTATGCAGGACACCATTTTCAAAAACTCCTGAAATGTTTTTGGAAAGGTGTGTATTATCTCAGCTTTGCCTTTAGCATGCTCCACGCATTACTGGTGTTAAGAATAATGTTTCTTTACTGCATCATATCTTCATCTATCCAGCGTGCTCTTATTTTATCAAGGTACTGAATAATTCTGTTCAAAGAATACGGTATTTTTGATTTGACTTTTTTGAAGTATTTTGCTTCATCTTCCAGATATTGTCTTTGTCTACACATACAGTATTTCTGTTTCTATCTGTGGATATTTTGGCTCAGAATAAACTTGGCAGCAGCAATACTGTGGAGACAGTGTTAAGGTATTACACATGCTGAAATATAATATACATCCTTTGCACAAGTCATAACATACGAATTTGTAGCTCTGAGACTCTACTTGTTTTACTTTATTTCCGATGCCTGGATTTGCACGCCCTTTGTTGGACAGACATAATAATACCTCAGTTCTGAATCTGCATTTAGCTTTACTAGGACTTTTAATTGAGTTTTACGTTTACAGTAAGGTTCTATTGCATACACTTACTCATGTTTACCATCTGTGTGTTAATCAAATAATTCAGCACCATAAACTTGCAATCCATGTGGACAAGTACAAAAATGAGCACAGCTGCTAAATGCATTATTTATCTGAAAGAAGAGTCCATGTCATAACATTTATACTCTGATCTGAATTTCCCTGTTTTTCAGATGATGCAGATGTACTGCTGGTTTTAACTTCCATCCCATTTAAATGGCCATTTAATTTGTGTGTATATTGCTTGCTTATTTTTTAACAAGACAAAATAAACATCTAGGACTCAAATGACTTCTTATGGGTTCATTAAAGAGCAAAGAATACATCTTCCTCAGCCACAGCGATGGGAAACATCAGATGTTCTGGCTACAAGTTTAGACCCTTCATACCAAGAGATCGTACTAGATCCCATGCTCAAGGAGAAATCCAGGTTCTTTTTCCATGTCCCACATGCTCCCGAACAATAATTCAAGACATGTGTGTTTACCCACTGGAAATCCAGAGGGCAGCTGTTTCCTCCCTGTGCAACGTGAATGCTCCTTTCTCTCACACAACTGTAGGACTTGCTGAGGACCTGGACAGAACAAATGAAGGATCAGAGCTTATGTATCATTGTTTGCTGTACGTTGCTCTCCCCGGTGTGTTTATAAGGCTTTGGTCTTCCCAAAGGAAATATTTCTGTATTTTATGGAAATATAACGGGAGGTATAATAAGTGCTCTAAAATGCTTGATAGTCTGTAGTCTGAGGTCAAAGAGTGTGAGAGCCCAAATGTGTAGGTGTTCTCCTGCTCTCTCTAAACTGCCTGACAGCAAGCAGTTGCTGAGACACACTCTTCAAAGTACCACTGCTTTTGGATAGATTTATGTGTAATTAATTCTTTTAATGCTTTTGAACCCTTTATCTTTGTTGTTTCTTATCACATTTATATACATTTAAATGTATATACAAAAGGAAAACACAAGTTTTTCAGCTGTTGTTGTTGCCAGGGAAGCCTGCAGTGAGAAGCAGAGACCAGCTGTATTAGAATTTTTTTGTAAAGAAATTGATGCATGGTGAGGAGACAGGAAACAGGACATGATTGTTCCTTACTCCGCCCAGGAAAGAGTTTGAAATAGACAGCAATTATCTTCTGGAGAACCAGTATGGATGGGAAAAGCACAAAATTATTAGAACCACTTATTTCTCAGGAGACATAATGATAATGAGGGCTAGCGAGGCAGTAATATCGCAAAAATATCTCTTTCTGTGTACTCTATAAAATTGTGTTCTTTGCACTGAGCCAAGCCAGCAAGAGAAGAATCATAAAGAAACCAAAGGAAAAAAAAAAAAACCCTGAACTTCCACCAAAACCAATGTGGAAGAAATAAGCAAATAGGCTTGTATCGCTAAGGCCATGTTTTAATGAGCGTCAGATCATCCTTACATGAACATCACTTGTATCCTGCTTTTTGAAACAGTGTAAATCAGTCAAGTAGCAACTCACTGAAATGCAAGCAAGCGAGATCGTCTCATGAGTTGACCTGATGTATTATGACAAGAAATATTTTGGCTTCTGCAGTTGTCATCACTTGAGTTTACAAACTGTCAGCTCCTTCCAAGGTGTAAGCTTATTACCTCCAGAATATTAAAGTTCCAGAAAAAGAAAGTGTCTAAGATGTTTGAGCAGAATATTTATAAAATGGACTGCTGGTAAAGTCGCTGTTGTTCATTTTATGCCATGAAGGTTTATGGGTGAAAACCTGTCTAGCTTTTTCTGTGTATGTTAAATGAGAAAGATTAGCTAAATATCCTTTCTAGAGATGGATTATGTGAACTCTTAAACCTTCTTAGTATTCATTTAGAAAAATAATTCTGACATGAGAGTGCCATTAATATCACTGGCTATATATACACCAAAAAAAAGAGAGGGATGGAGAGAGAAAAACACCACAAAAAATATGGTAACCACCGCAGCAAAGATAGGAACTTTCCCTTTCCAAGCATTCACTAATTCCATCAGTGCTCATCTCTCCCTATGGTGTTGTATTTCTACCAAGCGACCTCGAATTTACATAGAAACAAATAAGAGCAAAATGTTTTACAGAAAACAGTGGCTTTGTCTTCCCAAGCATCAAGACAGAACAAGGACTGTTTATCAAAACTCCCAGTTTATTCTCCTGTGAGCTGAGCGTTTTGGGGAATTTTTATCTTAACAGTGATCTGCTGTTTCCACTTTCCACCCCTAAAATTTTCTGGTTCTTGTCTACTCTTGCTGGACAGTCGTGCCTGTACGGGACCAAAACCCTTATAAATTTATTCTCAATTAAGAAAACAATGAAAGCTCTGGTTTGGCACAATGTGTGAGGAGGACACACACACACCTGTGAAGTCCTTAGCAGTGCAGCCGAGACTACAGGGTTTTCATGTACTCATGCACGAGGAATGCAGGTCTCCATGAATTCAAGAGTGGGGCAGATTTGTCTTTTGAGATTAAAACTCTCACTAATCTGCTGGGAGCATATGATTTCAAAGTGTCTGACTACAATGAATGGCTCTGCTGCATGCTGAGCACTCCTCCTGCACGCTTCAGCAAAGCGCATCTTGAAGACATTTTTCTTGATGTAAATCCCCAGAGTTTACAGAAGTCTGCCACATAGATGGTTACATTCTTAAAGTTTCTTGAACATAGAAGGACTTTTCTGTTTTGAGAAAGATTCTTCAAGCTACATTCTGGCCCTGTGGATGTTAATAGTTTTGTCATTGGTTTCAGCAAGGCCAGAATTTAACCCTGTTGTCTGAAGAGATATCTGCAAAAAAGAAAGTATTTAACCAGTTACTGCTTAGAGCTGGCACTGGTCTGGTCTGTATGTGGCTACAGCTTGCATCTACAGTCTTCATAAAACAGAATATACCTACTTACAAGCCCTTGGTTCCTGCAAAGATACTTCCTATTTTCACCAGTGAGACTACATTAAAATGCAGGTGTTTGAGGCTAGGCTGGATGGGGCCCTGGGCAGTCTCATCTGGTGTCTGACTCAGTGGTTGGCAACCTTGATCACAGCAGGTGGTTAGAACTCGATGAATCTCCCTGTGGATCTTTCCAACCCAAGCCATTCCATGGTTCTATGATTCTATGAATGTCCTTTGAAAATGTAGCAAGCAAAACAAATGAATCTGAGCCATAGATTTTCTTTGCATGAACTAAGTGGCCTTAATTGTTGCTCTATTTTTCTGGACACAGTTGCAGAGCTTCTTCAGCAAAGACAGTTTCCAGAAAAAAAAAAAAAAATCTATTCTTGGAGCTGCATGAAAATTTGAAGGCTGTCTTTATCCTCCCAAATGTAAATCCTGCCAACCTGTGTTAGCATCTCTGAATTTAGAAAAAGTGAGTAAAGGTGAGAATTTCTCCTGTAATACAGTAGCTGTGTCCTGACAATTAACAAGGGAAGCAGCTAGTCAGATTTGTAGGTTAAATTCAATGGCAATAAACATCCTGAGTAGTTGGAGTGTGGTCTTCATGCAGCATGGAGCTTTCACTGAGTGTTCCCCACAAGTAAGATTTGTGTTGCAAACAACTGAGGAATAAGACTTCTCACCCATACTGGGTTTTTATTAAACATCCTTGTGTCCTCCCTCCCAACAAGAACCCTGGCACTCAAAAATACAGAGAACGTTGTGCTCTTAGGCTTGGTTTGGCTTCAAGGTTATCACAGATTCACAGAATTGCTCAGATTAGAAAAGACCATAAAGATCATCAAGTCCAACCGCAACTTAACCGTGCTACCCTAAATATAATGTAATGTGGGTATCTGCAGGCGTTAAACTGTAGAACTAAACTGCTCATGTCGTAGCAATGCTTTCTCTAAGTTCAAGGTTAGTTGGATATTTTGCCTCAAGGCTCTGAAAGTTCTGAAAAAACAGAGTATTCAGGAATAGGACTGGGGACTAAACTGCTGTTTGCTACTTTCCCAACTTCTCCCTAAAATAAATGCTCTCCTTCTTAACATCTTTCAAACAGCGTGGAAATTAATTTCATGTCAGCTACAAACCTCATAACATCACTACCAAGAAACTGGATTGGACATTTTCGGGGAAAAAAAGATTCAGCGTATATTTTATTTTTCATCCTGTTTTTTTATCCTTTTTCTCTATGGAAAGTATTCTCATCTTGGCTCCAAGTTTAGAGAAAGTTTCAGTGTGTGAAAGGAAAATATGTTTTTCTGGTATTTTCTCTTTCTGTTTGGGTTCCTTTTAATCCTACTTGGAGAACTGATAAAGCCTTTGTTTTCTATATTTTTGCACTCAGCTCAGAGATCTGACAGTGACAAATGGCTGCAATGAAAACTGCTTGGAAAATCTGATGATATCACTCCTGCCTCTATTGGAGAGGTCCTAGGTTGCAGCAAGGATATAAATGCTTTCTTCTTATGACACCAGTTCCAAGAAGAGAGGAAAGAAAAAAAAGAGAGAGAGAATTATGAAAGAAATATATATTATTCAAGAGCATTATTGCTTTTCTGTGACTACTTGAAAAGGGATGTAGGAAGAATTAAGTGCAGCTGATCAGTGAGAAGTGGCTTCAAAAGCATAACTAGCTTGGTGACAGCAATTTCCCACTGAAAGTATAGGAACACAGAAAAAAGGTAAGCAGTAAGGATCTGATTTATTTTTTGTGATTAACTACTGATCTCAAAGATATATTTTAGTCATTCACACAGGAAGAACCAGCAATGACAGGATAACTAAAAGCAATTAAAAGCGCTGACAATGAAAACATTCCACGCTGTTTACAGCTCATACTAGAATTTCAAACCTCAGAGAGAGGAGGGATTCCAACGTCAAGCTCTTTTGAAACTATGACAGACATTCTGACTTAAAAAGGTGTAGATTTTTATTCAGGTTCAGCTCCCATCAATAGGTGTGGGCTTTGAGCCTGTCAATTTCAGGCATTTTGAATATCCTCTTAAATGCATCTTCCCAAAATGTAATGGATTCACAAAAAATGTGTGAAGCACAGAGCGTTTAATGTGATCAGAGAGATAGAGATAGAGAGCTATCACAGTGCCCACAAGCACACAGAAATTGGAGCTGGCAGATATCCACCCACCTCCAAAATTGATCTTCTACCTTGCCATCCCCTACCAATACTGTAGAGGTAGCTTCAGAGAAGCTAGCCCTTCTAATTCTGAGAAGAATTACACACCAGTTTAGGCAGCCAAGAGGAGAGGTGGAATCTCCTTTGCAGAAATACTACTTGGCTAAGCAGTGCTCTGGAAAAAATCATCTATGGCTTGGCTTTCAGCTGGT